CACACAAATCCAACACCCCCGTTCGACAGAAACCACCACAAATCTGCAACCATCGGCAAAAATTAGCATACAACCACCACAACCATCCGATAAATCCAACTCGAAAATTAAAAAAAAAATACAGATCTACACCGTTTACGAAGGTCTAGCCAGAGCAGCCTCCGCATCGGCGAGTCCAGATTTAGGTGGCTCGTTTATTAGGGTCAAGCTCAGAAAATGGTGTAGATCTATATTAGGCATAGGTTGCGAATCGATTGGAAAAAGAAGTGGCTCACGGCTTCTATGAAGTGGTCGGCGGAAAACGCCGATGGTTGGATCGAACGGCATATGCGACGGTGGTGCAGGACTGACTGTCCTTCTATAGCGACGATGGCTCTTCACCACCACGCCGTGGGCAGATTCGACAAATGGGAGGGAGGGAGAGGGAGAGGGGGAGGAGGAAATGAATTTTAGGGTTGATTTTGGGTTATTTTAATTGGGATGATAATCATATAATTAATATTAAATTAAATATAAAAATCTAATTTTTGAAATATTGAACTTGTGATTGGATTTGTGAAATTGGAAATCTAATTCCAGATGTAGGTGTAATTTCCTCTGTAAAAAGTTTATGGGTATTCGATATAGATTTTTGGAAATTGTCTAAAAGTATTAGTGTATTCAATTGAGATTTTTATAAATTTTTAAAAAGTCTCTAAAAGTCACGATATATTCAATTAAAATTTTTTAAAAGTCTCCATACATCTTGAGGTATTCAATTTTTTATGACTTTTAGATACTTTTATAAAAGTCTCCATGGTACTAACTTTTAAGCAGAAAGTACTCAAATAAAATCTCAAAATTTGTCTCTCATTAATCACAAGATTTTGGAGATTTTCACAAAAAAAAAATTAATTAATCGATTTTTTTAATATTTCTCTTTCATTTTCCCTTCTACAAACATTAGAGTTATGCTTAAAATTTATTTTTTTATTGATTGTATTAGTTTCTATTTTTCTCTCTCTTATTGTTTATTTCTATTTTTTATTAAAAAAATTAATTGTATTTTTATAATTTTTTTTTCATTTATTTTTTCTGAAAAATATCTATTTTTAATTAAACTATAAAATTTTATATAGACTAATTTATAGTTAAATATAAATATTTTTTTTCTATTCTTTAAAGGTATATTATATTAATAACACTGTATATTAAATTTATTTTTTATATGTATAATTATAATTATTTATTTAATTAAGGTCTTATACTTTTATTCTTTTTTTAAAAAAAAATTTATTATATGGGGAAAAAAAGAAGGAGGGGGAATTGTAAGAACTACCACATCAATAAATTTTTTTATTTGTTTAAAATTTACTTTTAAGTAAATCTTTTAATCCAACATTCTAGATCCAAACAGAACCTTATATTTCTGGAATAAAATTTCTTTTGCAAACCCTAAATCTCTCGTGCATCATGGCACCTAGTCCTACATGCCTATAAAATTCCGTGTAATCCTCGAGTATCCAATGATGCAAGTTGTCATAAAAAAAATAAATACACGTTTTCTTTCGGTGACTGTAAGTTATTCGAAAGATGGGGGACCAAATTGCAAAATGTACGTATATATATTATCGTAGGTCAGTTTGAGGCCGGCGTGGTCCGTATACGTATTAACTACTAATCACTGTATTAAATGACATATATGCCCTTTTTACTGTTTATAGTCAACCCCTCAATTAATAAAGTTTTTCAATTAATCTTAAGAAGATGCCCTCCTCTCCTTTATGTAGTTACCAAAATGGTCCCCCTCAAAATCACTCTAATTATGATTGTAATTAAAAGTGTTTTAATCACTTACCATTTGAAAATAATGCATTAAAATTATTCAACTCAATAATTTAAGGTGGTTAGGTTTTAAATTTATCTTCAATTATTGTAAATTAGTTTAATTTCCTAGAAACCCTAGTTTACGTACAATGTATAATTTGATTCACTCTATCGTTTTTAACTGGTGAAAAAGCTCAAGATTTTTAGCTGGACCGTGTTTCTTAAATGAACTTACAAAATAAATTTGTTTATCAAAATGAAATTCGATCGTGAAATTGAAATGATCGTAATCCAAAAAATACCTCAAAGAAGAGTTTGTACCAAATCGAAAATTCTTGAGTTTTCCATTGTGGGTGGTGAAAATAATTGTGACCCTAGATTTAACTGTACGTTATAATGTGAAAAATTGTGTTATTGGTCCATAATCTATTTTTCAACTAACAAGTTAATCTCTAATTCTTAAAAAGATTAATTTTTTATTTTTTTTAAAATATATTTTCATTATACTTTCACAGTTAACAGAAATTGATCTAAATCATGTCAAATTGTCAAGTGACCCTCAGTGTGTGCGCATATCGAAGTACTTCCTATAGCAGTCATTAAAAATTTAATTATAATTTTAAAAATTGAAGATTAACAAGATATTCGGAACATAGGTTGGGGATGGTTGGTTGAATTATTCTGGTAAAAAAAAAACAGAGAGAGAGAGCTCGAGATCGGATCTTTGGATAATTACATGTTAATTAAGAATTAATTAGTTAATTAAATGGATAGCGACATAAAGTAGCGGGGTTTCCGGTGCAAAGGACAATAGGAGAAAAAGCTGTTGCGCGACACGTGGCACAATTCATAGCCGTTAATACGCATGCAGATGTCCAACACCTTTGGATCTCTTCCCTTCAAGTTGATGATCATGTAGAGAGAGAAAGAGTACCTCTTTGTGTGTGAGAGAGAGAGAGAGAGAGAATGAGTGTATAAACAGAAAAGAAGCAAAGGTTCTTTCTGTGGGTGAGACTTAAATTGGTGGTTACAAAGGAAACGAGATAGAGAGAGAGTGAGTGAGTGTGTAGAGAGAGAAAGCTGAATGCTTTTAGAAGCCATGGCGGCGTGGCAGAGCTGTAATTCTGCGTCTTTAATGCAAACGACACAGCCACAGAATTGAAGGAAGGGAGGCTGTGATTTATCTCTGTGTCCCCAAAAGTCACCTCTTACTCTTAGAACAAAAGAAAAAAAGCTGCAATAAATCCTTTTCCCCAAAACAATTAAATTCGGAAATTCAAATCACATGCAAACATTGATTTATTATTTTAGTCGCAAATGAGATGATTCATTCAAAAACCCACCCAGAATTTTGTTTTGTCTGACTTATATGCATACATATATCCACAATTCAAGAAACCAAAACAGTACCCAGAGAAACTAAGGCGTGCCCTTATTATTCTTGGGTCATTTTCAAGTCTGTTTTGCGTTTCTGTTATGGATTGTCAGTCCCAATTGAAGTCTAGAAAAGGATTAGAGGTAGTGTCAAAATGGCTGGCTTTTTCTCACTAGGAGGAGGTGGTGGCGCTGGAAGAGGCGGAAACAATAGCAGCAATCAAGAACAAGAAAGCAGTAGCCACCACAACAATCCACCCTCAGAACTCAACCCAGAAAGCTGGTTTTTGTTCAGAAATGAAGATATACCATATAAAGGCTTCGAGCTTTGGCAGAACCACCCAAATCAGCAAGAAAATCAACATTTCCTTCAACGGCAGAATCAGAATCCGCTTCAAGATCTCTATGCATCAGCAGGAGGATTAGCAGTTGGGCCGAGTCGAACCGGCTTTGAAATCTCGAATGATTCTCCGAGGTCGGGATTTCTTATGATGAGGAGCAGCGGCGGAGCTGCTGCTGGTGGTGGAATTAGCTGCCAGGATTGTGGGAATCAAGCAAAGAAAGATTGTTCTTACATGAGATGTAGAACTTGCTGCAAGAGCCGAGGGTTTCAGTGCCAAACTCACGTGAAGAGCACTTGGGTTCCAGCTGCTAAAAGAAGAGAGAGACAGCAACAGCTTGCTGCCTTGCAAGAACAACAACAAGAACACAATCAGCAACAGCCACACAGAGACACTGCTAAAAGGCAAAGAGAGAATCCAAATGCTTCTTCCTCTCTCGTTTGCACTAGAATACCAGCTAGCACGTCAGGTAAACCTGACTCCACTAGACTATACAGTATAATAAACAAAATTTCATTGTTTAGATTGCGTGTGGTGAAATCGACCACCATAGTAAAACTAAAATCAACAGCTTTTCCTTTTCCCTTTTCTTTTCAAAACACTGTTTTTAGGTATTCCTGACAAAAGATAGACAGGAAGACCCTATTCCTCCCAACCCCACCCTACCTCAATGAAATTTCGTTGCTATTTTTGTATTAACGAAGTTTTAAAAACAATTTACATCATGTATACATTACGTTTATTTGATGTTTGTAGGGTTAGAACTTGGGAATTTCCCATCGGAAGTAAATTCGGAGGCGGTTTTTCGCTGCGTTAGAGTAAGCGCCATTGATGATGCTGAAGATCAGTACGCATATCAGACTGCAGTTAACATTGGTGGGCATGTATTTAAGGGAATTCTATACGATCAAGGCCTTGAAAACCAGTATATCGCCGGAGAAACCTCATCTGGTGGTGGAAGTGTCAGCGCAGGAGTTCAACAACTTAATTTAATAACTGGAACCGCCAATTCTGCAGCCACCACCTCCGCCGCCGGAGGTGGTTCTTCACCTTTTCTTGACCCTTCTTTATACCCAGCACCGCTCAACACTTTCATAGCTGGTACGCAATTCTTCCCACCCCCAAGATCCTGAACAACAACCTTAACTTAATTTGTGTCCCAAAAACTACATTTACAGCGATTTGAGGTAGAAATTATGAAAAAATAGTGCTAAAATATAGAACAAAAGGGGAGGAAATTAACGATCGAGAGGATCATTTGTTTATGCTTTTTTTGTACTTGAAATTTCGATGCACGCATCGTTGAACTATTCTTCTTCCCTTTGAAATACATAAAGTTTAAAGTTTGATTCTGCTATAAAAATGGGCGTGCTGTTTTTATTTGTTTGTTTTTATTGCAACTTTTTAATTATTAGTTGAATTTCTATACGCTTTTCTAGCCTGTGTTGAAATTCGAGCTGCTTTTCATTATTTTCCTCCTAATTTACGCGTAATTGCCTGTTGAATTAGTGACTCAAAGAGGTTGCTTCTTCCTTTGGACAATCTGAAATATCATTATTCTTCTTTCAGTATGGCTATCCAGCCATGCAGGAGCATTTCAAAATGTCACATCCTCTCTCTCTCTACACACACACAACTCATCATATGAATGTTATCAAAGTCACTCACGGATTGTATGTCAGGAAAATATTAGACGATTTTAAATAAAAAGGAAGTCTAAATCTAATGAATTGTAATATTCATAGTTTCTACATCTACAGAAGAATATGATGCAGTGGTCAATTCGTCCTCCATAGTCCCAAAGAAAGGCCATTCAATATTTTGAAAGCATTTCTTGATTTTTGTGCTTTTATTGACATTAATTCCTAGTATAGTTACCAGTATTCTCTGCATGTGATCATTCTACATTTCTTATCTATTTGAAGCTGTTTGTGATACATATACCATACACTTGATCGTTTTTAATAACCCTTCTTGGTAAGTCATTTAACATTTATCATGTATTGGCTAGATTCTATGTGGTTTTCCACCTTAGTGCTTATCTCAGATTTAAATTATGTTTTTTTAAGAGGCAAAGATAAGTGCTACCAAAGTCGAGGTAATAAATGAGTGATATCTTATGTTCGTGTGTGTTTGATAGACATTATATAAGAAGGGATGAAACTAAGCTAAAAGGGTTGAAGTCTCTATTTTCCCATTTGTTTTGAAAAAGTCTAATTGGGAAGTGCTACATATTTGCTGTACTAAATTAAATGATTACTTCATAGTAATGTATAAACTTTTAAACATCATGACTGCACCTGATTTTATATTAGGAATTATTTAAAATAATATAAGAGAATTATATTGAAAAGATAAATATGTCCCTTGTTACATTTACAAAACAATACCTTGTGCATTTGCACCTACTTGGAGATTGTCGCACTACGTCTTAAATGAGCATAAAATCAAACAGTTACTGAAATTATCAATAGAAATTCTCATTGTTCCTCTTTTCTTCATTCTTGCCCTTTCTCTGGATTGCTTTCATACCTAAATATGCTATTTTTAAATTTAATCTAAGTCAACAAGATTAAGGAAAATTTCCTTTAGTTGTTTCATAATTGATGAGTAAATGTAGCCAGATTAAAAATAAAGTGATGCATCCTAGCTAGCAAGGAAAACAAATTGAATAGTTGAGATCCACTGGGTTTATATTCGGTAAAAAGGCAGGTTTTTGAAGAACTGTCTATTTGTCTTCTATGAAATTAGCAAACAGGCATATGGTTTTTTCCTTCCTCCACTATAAGGAAGCCCCTAAAACTCTCTACTGCCTTCCTCCCTCTTGTTAAATACATGCCTTTAAGGCCATGTTCCCAAGGCTTCAATCCTCGTCTTTGCACAAATCGGGTCTACTAGGTGCAAATTATAAAATCTTAAAGAAATTTTTTAGTACTTATAATCTTTGATAATGAATAAATGAGCACAAGTTAGAAACCTAATGATTATAGCTATGATGGATCACAGCAGCTAGCTAGCTCGTGAAATGAAGTGTCTGTAAATGTAGGAGAGGACATTATATACTTTTCTCTACAAAATTTACTACACGTCTTTGAACTAAATGGGATGCCCAGAAAACAAATGAATGAAAAGATATTGTCACCAATAGCTGCATTATATAAATAAATTACATAATGTCCTAACTTTGATAGTTGTATTCTTCATAACTCGCGCTTTCTTATCAAGAATTACTCTTTCGTTCCTTCAATGTTTTGGATCTGGTCACTTTCTCTTCCCTGTAAAAGTAATCGCATTCTTGCATGCAACCATGTTTCACCATAGGAGTGTGAACAAATTTATATACTTTAATTTTAAAAAAATGAGTTTAACTAGAGTTTTTATTGTTTCCAGCAATGAATGAGGGTACATGAACCTTTGACGATGCAAGGTTTTCAAACTGTTTGCATTTTTGTCCGGTTTTGATTTGCTATATGTTGCAAGTTTGGATGCATTTAGTATATTGTTGGGTGTCTTGTTTGCTCATTCATTTTGCATTCACGTGTTATTTTCAGTTGTATATGATAGTTCTTCTAGAGCCCTTATCGTAAATTGAATTGTCTATCTTCTATTGAATTTGATGGAGGCATTGATTGGTTTAAATCCAAAAGTTGAGAGAAACCAAGAGGGTTTGAAACAAGTAGGACTTCATAGTTTTTGCTAAGACATTCTCTACTGTGTTTTCTGAAATAAGGTTTCGTTTGAGTAAAATGAAAAATTTCTTCACCAGTGAACGGAATTTTACCCTTGGTACGTTTTAGAATGCGTTCACTATGACATCAGATGTACGCTTCTCTTGATTGGTAAATGGAATTTTACCCTACGTATGTGTCTTACTAGGGTGGCCAATTACCTTCATTATTTCTTATACCAAGTTGTCAGAAAATCTGTCATTCCAAGGTCTGTCTTTATACTGCCAAAATTTACACGAGTTGCTTCTTTCCTTACTGGCTTAACCCTCTTTGGTTGTATTGGACGGAAACAAGAATGACTTCACACAAGATAAGATTTTAATTTTTTTCCCCCAAAAAAGGTGGACAATCCTTCATCGAAGACCTAATGAGAGGTTGAATTCGAACACGCCCAAGATCTGGGGCTCTCTCCTTTTCCCTGTCGAGAAGAATTTATTTTCCTGTGTCTGAAGTCGAGCTTACAGTGCTATTATCGTTTGTGCTTTCTTATTTCCTACTTGCACACCTCTTCAAAAGCCATTGGAAGGGCAGTAGTTAGTATCTTTAACAATTATGTCATAGAATTAGTTGATAAGTAATTGACTATTGGTTTATGTTCCGTTCTTTTCTATATGTCGTTTGCCCTCTTCGCACTTTTCGTCATTTTTCAATGCGTATAAAATTTTGTTGGCTCGTTATCATTAGTTACCCTCAGTGGAAATTCAACAAAGTATTTACTCAACTGTAACAAGTCTAATCCCTCATCAAAACTTGGCTCGTTCAATTATTAGTACATAACTGTATCAAGAAAAGACAACGATATTTGTTGTCATTAAACAAATAATATATAAAAAAGTAAAAAAACGTGCTGCTTGAATGTCAGTCTCCCTATTTTGGTAACATGTAGCCGAAAGGAGAACCAAGTTTTCCCTTTCTCAATGCTGATACCGTACAACTAATTTACTTTGGTAGAGATATTATATAATAATAAATGACACAGTCTCATATTTTGTGACAGCAGCATTAATGTCTTCAACTTTTCTCGTATTTTCAAAATCTCCTCGAGCTACAAAAAGGTGCCCTCATAACTCTTCTTCTGCATGAAATTGAACATTGTCCATATTTCGATTTTTCAATATTCCTTTCACTTTTTTCTTTACTTTCTGCTTCTTGTCGTCTGCTACCCTTTGCCCTGCCAGTCAATTTTTAATCGAAATTTAATTCCAATTGCAACTTTATGGAACTTGTATTACACTCAACTTAGCCTGTTCACGGCTGCAAAACAAAAATGTAAAGTAGTTCGTGTATACATATATGTAGCCTTATAAATGACGTATGTCACATTTGGCATCCATTAGAGTTACTCAGAGAGGGTCGTGTCACCTTTCTAAGTCACTAAAGGGGAATTGTGCGGCAATTAGTCTACGTTCTGCCAAATCTTAAGTATGCCCGCGTGCACATATACTGAGTCGAGAAAGAAAGAAAGAGAGGAATGTGTAGAATGAACTTGGATATATAATGCAACCAGTTGGCATGTTAATTAGAAGCACATGAAAGTACTAGAAATGATGAACCAAATTCAAGCACCGCTATATTAGGGCTTATTATGGTTGTAGCCTGTAGGATCGAGGTATAATAATTCCAACTTTCTTTTGGTTGAACCCCAAACGTAGTTATGAAAATTAAATAAGCTACTCCACTAGACAAAAAAAGTTTCTTTTTGATAGTGGTTGTAGGCATATATAATTAGTTTATCGAGTGATTTGAGTACATTTAAGAAGTAAGATAAGATCTTCTTTTAATTTGCTAATTAGTTTGTTTTTTCTACTAAATTTAATGTTTAAGTAGAATTAGCAGACTGAAAATTAAGCAGTTTAAACCCATAAAATTGTCTTAATTACAGTAACCACTGATGCATGGCTTGAGGTGAATTCAGTGCTCGTTGTGCTGATTTGTAGTCCTGAAGCCACAAAGGACCTCCAAATACTGCCGTATACCAACACTAGACTGCCAACACCTATCATCGACTATCCATAATGACCATCTGGAACCTCAAGCGGCACATATATTCGAACCCGAATATTATAAGTGTGGTACATCCAAAAGGCGGTCCAAATATGGTCCATCTTATCTTCTCATTCTAAATTTCGTATCTGAATATTCACAATTATCTCTATTACTCTTGTTATCTCTTCTTAACATGTTATGAATGATCATGTCTTTCAAGTCCATACAATGCACGTGCACGAGAATGTCATAGAATATCTCATATTGAATAAATTATTCAGTTTCCTTTTTTTGTGTATTCCATGAAGTATGTAATATTGAGTTTTCCTAGTTTAGTCTAGAATGTATATTCTTAAACAATTATTTTTAGACGTGATATAAGGTAACTAGCCAAGAATAGTCTAGATTTTTTTGTATGT